AAGTAAAAAAAAAAAAAAAAAAAAAAAAAAAGAAAAGAAAAGAGGTCCTGCCTTTTTGCTCGACGTTGCCGGAGGAAACACAAAAACAGCTCACAAAAATACCATCAAAGTTTTATGTATTTACACGTTGTAAACTTAATTTTTTTTTTTTTACATTTCTACAACAAATTCTTTTTTATCGCATAAAAATATCACTAGGTAGATAAATATGTAATAATTGAATTTTAGATGATAGATTTGTAAATACATAAAAATTGAGCGAAATGCAGGTAAATATTTTTTTTTAAAAAGTTTTTCTTATTTATTTATTTATTTTAAATTTGTTTTTCATTCTCCGGCGGCCTTAAAAGTCATCAAACTAGAATTTTTTTTTTTTCCAGATCAAAGGAGGAAAAGCCAGGTGGTGGGTCCCACAGATTAGAAAATTGTTAATTCTCCAAAGAATTCTCCAAAGAGTGGTTTGGAAAAGATATTTTGAAACGCCAAAATAACAACCAACCATTAGTGGGAAGAAAAGAGAGAGAATATATAATAAATATTTACCAAATCAAATAATTTAGACACATTAAATTTAAAATAAGTTAATGATGATATTATTTTTATATATTATAACAGAACATTTAAATAATAATATATTCACTTTATGGAGGTCCGTTTGGGGCAGCTTATTTGGTGTGGCGGCATTTTGAAAACATACCTGACCTGTTTGAATAACTTCGTTTTGACAACTTATGCTTTTTCAGAACGCTGAAAACAATATTTTCACACCACACCTATCTAGGTTGAATAACAACTTTCTAACAATGGTTTGATTTTCCCAACAAAATAAAAAATTATAAGAGCAACCGCATTTTGCTTATCAGCAGATTATTTTTAATAGACTTATTAACATATTATTCAATAAAGTGCAGCTGCCCCAAACAGACCTTTAATCAAGTCGAGCTAGAGCTATTCATCAAATGCATTTGTTCATTTACAACCCTACTAGCTTTCTATTTTGTTCATCACTCAGTTTACCAGAAGTGATCTGACTTGTGGTCACGTGCAATCGCACAAACAACAAACAAATTACGGCATCAACAATATTCATGAATGATGTAGGACTAATTTATAAATTAAGCAGAGTAGTCGTAGGAGAATCAAATTCATGAACTCCAAATATATTGAACCAATAAGATGAGAATTCAAATAGAAAATATAGCAATGCCAGCTTGACCATATTCAAAACAACAAAACAAAGGAGGGGGAAGGTAGGGTCCAATATTCACCTAACCACATCATAATAGTGAAGAAGAAGAACTTAACATTTGCATATATAAATATGAAATGAAGAATTAAATGTGATATATTGGTGCATGCTTGATTAGATTGAAATAACAGGATGAAGAACAAAAAGGATAAATCCAATCTTCACCAGAGTAGATCAATCAAAACAATGGAACGAAGCCATTACAATAGCTTGACTAGATTGAAATAGCCAGATGAAGATCCAAAGAAGTGATATATCCATCCAGTTGCATGTTGCATAACTAATCAAAGTTCTAATGTCAGTCTATCTAAATAGAATAAATACGACAAAAGAGAAATAAAGGTTCAATCATAAGCAGACTGGATCAAAATAGTGAAGCCAACAATTTAATATTTACCCGACTGGATCAAAATAACAAATAAAAAATCAAAGAAGTGATAAGAGTGAATTATTCTAAAGCACTATAGGATCAAGCTTGTTAAGAATGCAAGACATGTGATTGATTGAAGGGAATTAACACACATATCAGCGAACCGATGTATTTACGTCTGCTACTATCAAATTATTGAGGATTTGATAAAAAAAAAAGACATGGGTTGGGGTTTTTACCATGAATTTTGATATTTGAGTGAGAATTTGTAAAATGGATGAAAGAGGGTGGTTGATTTGTAAATAGCATGTTTCAAGTGGTCAACATGTAATTGCCCCAAACTTAAAATGTTTCCCTTTGGCTCAATCTCCAGGAGTTCTGAATCTTAGGATGCACTTGATAAGACAAATTCTCTCTTAAATAAAATTGAAAAGTTACAATATGAATGAATTAAAAACTAATTTTATTATAATAAACAATATAAATAATTGCAAGTCAATTATGTTAATTTTGATAAAATTATAAATAAATTTAAACCATTAGCTTCATGCAAATTACTTGGAAGCATCAAAGCAGTATATGACCAAAAATGGCATGCCTCTCTAACAAAGGGGCAAGCAAGCTAGACATAAAAAAAATTTCATATATTTAAATCTCATTATATTTGAAGCAGGTTCAAATTACAACATCAGTTTTATTTATTGCATGATTAAAACTGAACTGCTTTATAAAATTAATTCTGGCATGAGAAAAATAGAAGTTCTGAAAGCAATATCAATATGATAAATTGAATTACGAAGCACACAATTCTTATGTATCTACATATCTCACCCCCAAGCTTCGATATTTACATACACAACACTTTCGTGCTTTAAACTTATGCTTGAAAAGATGCATTTCACTTTTTTTAAAACAATACTAATACTATTTTTTATGTGATAATAAAGATTTGAGTGTTATGTGTGTAGTTTGAGATAGGTAAATACATAAGAATTGTATGCAATGTATGTAAATGCACCTAAAAATATTAATAATTTTTAATTTTATTAGAAAAAAAAACAATATATATTTTTATAAATCTCTTGAAATAGATATGGAAGTGAGAAGTACATTCTCAAAAGAAAACATATCAAATAAAAAAGTGCAGCAACAGTTAATAAATGAAACTGAAAAAAAATATTTTGAAGGCATAGTTACAGTGAAACTACTGAGATAGTGCAGAGCCATATTTGGCGAGTAGGATAACAGCATTCTTGCCAAGAGAGATGCATATTAAATTTTGGGAAGATTTACCATACATACCACTAAATTCCTATGTATTTACACATCTAACACCTAAACTATAATTTTTACATATATACCATCTTAACTATGCATGAAAAGATGCATTTCACTTTTTAAAAGTTAAAATAATTATATTTTTGATGTGATATGAAAGATTTGGTTATAAATGTCAAAAAATAAAGTTTAGGTGTTAGATAAGCAAATACATAAGAATTGGGTGGTATGCATGTAAATGCCCGTATATATGCAAAAATAAATACAACATGAATACAAAAAGGAGTTTATACATAAAACAACAGCAAAAAAATGATGTTTACCTCATACGATAGTGCAATTAGGATTTTAAATAAAATGGTGAGAAAACTTAAACCAAAATTAGAAAAAAAAATTATATAATAAATCTAATTACAGAAAGTTTTAAAAATATAAATTCTATTTTATACAATAATTACATAACATTTTTCTCTAATTTAAAATAGCCCACCCTTTACCCAATTTTGATTTCCAACAAAGATCTTATAAATGAATAATTCATATAAAACTAACTACTGGTGATGGTGATATACCTTCACAGCATCTTCTCAAATTTGTCAAGCTTCTTAACTCTCTGCAATGATCTTGCCAACAGCAAAGAGAAAATGCCTGAATATTGAGCACCAAAAATATAGTCAGAATCTGGACAGTTCATTAAAAAAGCAAATTTATCCTTCACGCATTGTTTAAGGATATGGAATAACAAAATAGTTATAAATATTTTAATTAGATAAAAAATAATCTAAAAAAACTAAAAAGTACAATTAAGGATCTGCTTGGGACAATTTTTTGCTGGAAATTCGATTTAGACAGCCACCATAGTTGTTTGGGAACTATTTTTTTTGCTACTTTCCGCAAATTACTGCGGTGGAAAGCTCTATTTTTGCAACAATATCTATTAAAAAATGGTGGCTGCTAACTTTTTTGAAAAGAATAAATATGTATATTTCCCACCTCAGCTATCTAAAAAGCTCTTAGCCCACCAGTCTTTACAACCATATTTGCAAAAATCTTCGGCCACCCAAACAGATTCCAAGTTTAAATACATATTTTTCTTGTTTTAACATCTAACTTGAAGTGCAAATTAGTTTATATCTGATAGGGACTTGCCAATCTCTTTTGATGTTTTGCAAAGCTACCGTAAAAAATGAAATCTGTAAACCAAACTTTAGTCCTTCCATGAATACCAATATTTGAATAAAAATGCCAATTTTTCTAAAGTGTAAGGATTATGCAATAAGATAGAAATTGCTCATATGCTCTCAGCATGATAATGAGATTAGCTGTATCAAATTTGATCCAATTCAAGATGAGGTGATGAATAGAATAACTAGTGAAAAAAGCCGTCTGGTTTTCTTCTCTGAAAATACGTTTTCTTATTAATATGATGCATGTTTTATTTGAAGCTATCGTCCACATGGAAGTAATACAATAGCGACTGGATTGAGATAATTTAAGAGGTTGTTTGGTTGAAGAGATTTTGAGTGTATTATATACCAAATGCAGAGGTATTGAAAATTCAAATGTTCAGTTTGCTTAATAATAGATCAAAAATATTTTTTAGAATAATTTGAAACTCATTCTTCAATTCATATTTGATGTCTTCTGAAATTGCTCCAATTGGGGGAGATCTAGAATACAACAGCTACCTGCCCTAGGGGCTTGTGAGCTGGCTCAAGCTTGGCTTGTAAAACGAGGTGATGAGCCGAACTTACCAAGCCACGAGCTTGAGATCATGGTTTACAAGCCGGCTTGATTAGCATACTACTAGTCATTTCGATGCATTTTCTGGTGAGCTCCCGCTGCTCCTCCCCATAGTACTCCCCGCTGCCGTTCATAAAAGCATCTATCCAGTAACCTTCCTCTGAAGTGTTCTCTTGTGATTCTAAAGGGCTGATTAATCATAGGAACTTGCACCAGTGAGAAATACCGAGCCAAGTTATCACAAGAGAGCATCTCTAGATAATGTCTAGTCTAATATCCAAGCCATCCACTAAAAACATAACTCAAAATTAATTGAAAACATAAAGCAGCAAAAAGTAGGCAAAATATTTTGGCGCGCACAATGGAATTGGGTTTTTTTAATATTTTAAACAAGCCTTAAGAATCCACATAAGTGAGTGCATTGAAAGAAGTATAAATAATTTGTAAACTGTTTTAACTTGAAAACGAGAAAGTAAATATTAGAAATTTAGATTTGGAAATTAAAGAGTAGAGAATGCAAACTGTTTTATAATAATTTGTTCCAAACTCATTTATGTGCAATCCCTGAGATAACCAACTCAAAAGTTATAGTAATCCTCTTCTTCAAGGATCATAGAAAAGAAAACCCTATATACACTACAAGAGAGGATTTAATTGGCGTTCGATATTTGTGTCGAACTATGTCTAATGCAAATATTACCGTTGGATATGCATTAGATTTGCGGCAAATATGGAAGCCGTTTGGATTAAGGCGATTTGCGGTGAAATTTCCGTCGACCTTGCGTTGAAATTTTTGACTCAAATACCTCACTTAGAAGCGTCAGACATTGTCCAACGCAAATCCGTCGGATGGCCGACATAAACAACCTCAAAAACAATTCCCCACACAGTCACTTATTCGACACAAATCTGACAAAAATCCCCCACAATGCCCTAATATATGCATCCTGCGCAACAGAGCCTCATTTTCTTTTTCTTTCCTCGTCTACGCTTCAGTCCGGCACTCAGGCAATTTCTCTCCGCTGAGCTCCTTCGGCGATAGGCGACTCATTTCACAATTGATCTTCTCGGCCCCGATGACCTTTTCCTTTCTCAGAATTCAAAGTATAACTTAAAAGAAATTTACATTCATTCAATAGTAAATAGCCAGAAGTAATGCTGTAAATTGTAATTAGAGGTTCTTTTACTCCCAGCCTAACTCCCTTTCCAATTAGCAATTTGGAGCATTTATTTGCATTTACCTCAAAGCTAAGTTGATTAAAAAGTTGTTAAAAATGAATTACCCTTGAGCTGTAAGTTTCAATTAATGCAATTGTGTTGATTTATGTGAAAAATAGCAGCAGCTTCCTAAATTAATTACATATATAACACAAAAGTCGTATGCGCTTACATATTTAACTCAAACTTTCATATTTATATTAATAATATTTTAATATATGTAAAGTTGTATTTCATTTTAAAAAGTAGGAGTATTGCTTTTTATATGAAGTTAAAAATTTGAGTGTTATCCATGTAAATATGAAAGTATATGTGTCTAATATGTAAGCACAAGAAATATGCGGTATGTATATAGATGTCCCTAGTTAATATGTACTTTTGAAAAATTTATAAGAAAAAAATTAACATAAAGTGAAATCCTTTAAATCTCTACAAATAGCTTGAAATTTAAAATCAACTTCAATACATTTAAAATCAATTTTGATTTGCTATTATTTCGCTTAAATGATTAGTGTTTTTGTTTAAACTTTAAAATCATCTTTGCTCTTGTGGTATGTATTTATGCTCTCAATTTCGCTTTCAAAATGTTGCCTTTCATGACTCGTATTCAATACAACTCTAAATTGTATTACAACATCAATTCTATAAAAAATCAGGAGTTTGGTGGAATGAGTGGTTTTACACTTAGAGACAATGTGAAACAATTATATCGGTGAAAGGGTTGGTGTAGCTCCAGTAGCAGATAACAATAGAGAGAGTCACTTTATTTAGTTTTATCATCTTAAACGTCGACCATCTGATCACCCTATTAGAACTGTAAATGATTTACATTTGGCTTATATTAAGAAAGGTAAAGGTAGGCCTAAGAAGGCTTGGGCATAATCTATTAGAATTACATAAAAATATGACACTCAATAAGAAACGAAGTAGAAAAAAAGTTTAATTCATGTAGCTGACCCCAGGAGGTGTGAAAATTTTTTTGCTTTGTGTAATATATGAAAATTGTGTGCTCTGCATGTATAATTTGAAGTTTAGGTGTTAGGTGTGTAATACATAATAATTGTTTTGTTTTTATGTTAAATTTGATGTTTAGGTATTACATATCTTGTACATAGAAATTGTGTGTGGTTTATATGTAAGGATTGATGGTTAGTTGTTAGATATCTAATACATACAAAATATATGCACAACTGAGATTTTGATGTACTGATCCATAAAGTTATATCTATGCTTGAGATTATGAATGTATAACAGATTATATCTAGAATGAAAAATACTCAATGAAGAGTTCTTGAATGATGCTGAAGAATTTATGCATGTGACATCACAACTGTTCATCTACCGTATAGAGAATAAGTTTCGATGTCCACGTGCGAAACACAAAAATCAAGTGTATCTGCCACATGAAGAAGTCAAGTTGGATTTATACCTCAAGAGATTTAAACCAAATTATTGAAATTGGACTGCACATGGTGAGCAAGAACCAGAAGTTCAGTACGATCAAGTTGGTGCCTTAACAAGTTATGCCCCTCAAACAGAAGATTACAATCCTGACACATACGAAAAAATGAGTCATGATACATGCAAGACTCATTTTGTTGAGTGTTCAAATGTAAACCAAACACCGAACAACAAAACACAACAATTCTATCATTTACTGAATGCCGCACAACCACTTTTATGAGAATTTTGCACTGCACAGACGAAGTTATCAGTGACGCTGAAAATGCTGAACAATAAATCTGATTTTAACATGCCCAGGGAATGTTTCAAATAGGTAACAACATTATTGAAGGAGACAAACCTTACAAAGAATTTAGTTCCGAATGACCTAGATAGAACCAACAAATTAGTGTCCAGGTTAGGGTTACTATATGAGAAGATAAATTACTATGTTAATGACTGCAAGATATATTAAAAAACTGTTGCAGTAGAGATGAAATGCATATTTAGTGGTGTTGATAGATTCAAAGAAAGGGTAAAAAATAGTAAAAATATTCCATACAAGCGTTTCTTTTACTTTCCGCTCCATACCTCGACTTCAGAGACTGTTAGCTTCTATGTGTACACCTCACATGACATGAATTAGTTTTGAATCTATTGATGCTAATTCTATGAGTCATCCGTAACGTGATAAAGCCTGGAGATATTTATATCGTAGTTATCTGAACCTTGCAGTTGAAGCACGCAATGTTAGACTTGACTTATGTAGAGATGTGTTCACCCGTACAGTCACGTCACAATACCGTATTAATATGTAACAATACCGTATTAACATGTTACAATATCGTATTAATACGGGTAAATAATCATTACACTGTATAATTTGCCTCCCGATACGTGCTTGACCGTGTCGTTCTTATTTCTGACGTTGATTAGACCAGATCCACAAAGAAAAAAATTGATGTTTACGAATTGCCTTTGATTGACGAGCTTTAAATGTTGTGGGAAACATATGCGCTTACTTATGATATCGCTACAAGATAGGTTTTTCAACTGAAAATTGTTGTTATGTGGACGATTAATGATTTCCTGGCTTATATAATGCTATTTAGTTGGAGCACTACTGAAAAATTGACTTGTCCTTACTACATGGATATGTCCAATGCATTCACTATGAAACATGGAATGAAAAATTCCTGGTTTGGTAGCCATCGAAGATTTTTGGGTCATGATCACCCATTCAGAAGGAACAAAAGATGTATTTTTCATAAATATGATTGGAAGATGAAGTCCCCCCGATAACTGGAGTCGATTTATTGCAGATGATCAGTGAAATACAAAAAATCACTAAGAGGCCAGAATTAGCTTCAAATCGTCTTCCTGATTTTGGTGTAACACATAACTAGACGAAAAAAAATATTTTCTGATATCTTTCATATTAGATGACTAATCTGATTAGACATAATCTTCATATTATGCATATTGAGAAGAATCTTTTTGATAACATCTTCAATATTATGATGAATATCAGGTAAAATGAAAGACAACATCAAAACAAGATTGAATTTGAAAGAGTGAGCATAAGGGTTAAAACTTCATGAGATAAATGCAGATAAATTAATAAAATCCAAAGCCATATATTGTCCGACATTAGATCAACGGAGGACAATATTTTAATGGGTGCATGCTTTGAAGTTTCCCGGTGGATGTGCATCAAATTTGTGGCGCTGTTTTAACTTGGGAATTGGGAAGGTATTTTTCATGAAGAGTCATGACTACAAATTTTTTTTGCAGTGCTTACTATCAATTGCATTTAGTGTATTGCTCATGCCAGTGCTTGATCCATCGAAATAAGTATATTCTTTAGAAGTTGTGTGCACAAACTCTAAATGTTGACTCATTGAGAAACCTTGATGCGAGTATTCCCTTATTATTATGCAAGCTCGAGCAGATATTTTCTTTTGGTTTCTTTAACTCTATGGAGCATCTGCCCATACATCAATGTTATGAGGCTATACTAGGTCCAATACAGTACAGATGGATGTATCCATTTGACAGACATATCTTCTCGATATGTACAATCATGATTTATATTTTATTTTAGACTAATCCACTAACATAATTATTCAAAAATGTGTTTATCTTGCTAATTATTAAATAAAATAAAAAAAGAACTGTTAAGAATAAAGTACATCCAGATGGCTCGATAAGCGAGACATACTGGCTACATAAGACAATTACTTTTAGTTCCAATTATTTTGAACAAACATCAGATAGATAAATCTCTAGATGACATGTCTTCGCAGCCAAAATTATATGTATTTTAGATATCAGAAAAACCATCAGACAAGCATGGTACACGGTATTTGAGCGATAAAAAGATTCAGACAATTACAATATGTGTTCTAATGAACTGTATTTAAGTTTAGCCATTTATACAGTAAGGCTTACAACGTTCAGAAATATTATTCTCATTTATTATTCATAATGTTATACTAATTAATTTGAACATACAAATAATAATGAGATGAACATGTTTTTAGGACAGTTTGAACATGAGGAATGACTCTCAAATAAGCAAGAATGTTAAAGAAGAATTCTCTACATTGTTCAAATTATACGTACGTCGAAGCAACTCTTGAATTAACAAGCACATAGTATAATTGTCACGTTCAAAGTTTATACTTTGGAAATTCTTACAGTTTCACAATACAAACAATGAAAGTACACATCAGAGATTAATAGGTCACACATGAGGGCCTAATCACAAAGTCAATACTTGACAAATATTTAATGTCAATGATTACAGGTTTCACATGAGTTTCGGTATGAAGGGAAGAAGACATAATTGTGGTGTTTGTATTAGAGAAATCACACTCACAGATAACAAAATCAATTATTATGACATACTTAAAGTAGTTCAATTGCAATATCCGAGTGCTATGAACACTGTTTATTTGTTCAATTGTGAGTGGTTTGATCCTGTTCTTAATCAAGGAACACGAGCATTTAGCCTTTATGATATTACCAAAGTCAAAATGAATAAAAGATATGTGAAGTTTGATCCTTTTGTTGTAGCATGACAAACTAGTTAGATTTATTAAATTCGGTACCCTGGTAGAGAAAGAGACAAAATTCATTAGGTTGTGATTATGAAAAATAAACCAAGAAAAACTATTAAGATGCAAAGTATTATTGAACACATTCACCAAATGCAAGGTATCTCGTCAGATTTTGTATTTAGACTAGTTCAAACGAAGATATGTTTGCCCTACAGGATACAACATAAATTTATGAAGAAGTTCCTCAAAATATGGATGACGTCAAAGAAGAAAATTTTTAAGTTCATTATCAACAGGTTCATTTAATGAAACATTATCAAAATGGTCTATAAGTTTGGTTGAGTGCTTTCTTTTTTTTTTTTTCAATTTTGTTATTTTAAGACATTATTTTAAGACATAATTGTGACGTGCTTACTTTAAATTTGCACCTTCCTATGTTTACTTCTCTACTTATGTCATACTTTCCTGCCTTTTGTAATTTTAGACGTAGTTACCACGTGTTTTCTATTTTGATTATGCACCTTCCACCTTTTACTTGTATATATTGCTCATGAGACTTTCGTTGTTAATACTAATTTTAATATTCTCTTCTTTCCTGTTACGAATGGCCACAGGTGGCGTTGGCTGTCCGCCACCTGAGCGACCGCATGTTTTGGCAGTTTGGGAGCACTTATAGGAGCAGGAAGAAGGGCTTGTCTTCTTCCGCACTTGCTCCCACACCTGTTCCCACACATGTTGCCAAACCTGATGCCACACCTTTTTGACTACCGGGGCCTTCCATTGTCGTCCCTCCTACTACTACAACCCCATGTACTCCAACCCCCTCCTGCAACCCCACATATTGCACCCAATCCTGCACTATCTCCTACCCAAGCTCCAACTTCCTTCTCCAATGGGCCAGACCCCAGGACTCTCTCCCCTTCGAAGGCACATCTTATTTTGGAGAGGGAATATCTTTAACATCATAAGTTATCTTTAACATTAAATCAATCTCATTGTTCATTCTCGATATTTTGCGTAACTAATATTTCTTTTCCAGATTCATCCCTCACAAGTTGCCCGTGACATGTATCAGGGAGATCATCTGGAGTAAATACGATCATCCGTATCTCTCTTGGAAGTAGATCCCCAGTGTGACTCGGGAACGGGAGTTCGAGGAAATATCATTTAAATTGAATTAGAATACTAATTTAAATTTAGTTTATTATACTAATCGACATCGCATAATTTTTACGTTGCAGAGGTCCTTCAACTAGCTGTCGGAGCATCACCACCAAATCTATTGAATCTTTGAGATTCCTAGCAAATATCAATTGGGTGACACGTTCACCGCATCCTGCAAGAAGGGGAGCGACCCACCTGAGGTGGGGAGGAGCTCTAGGCTCAGGTGACCATAGCCTGGGCAACTTCGGAGTATTAGAGGAAGAGCTAGACGAATCCACATAACCAGGCGACCGGGGGTGCCAGGGGCGCTGCACTCCACAGTGGAGGATCGGGCCCCCACACGGAGCACTACTGGAGGCTAATAAAATCTTTTCAATATTCAACGATTCAATGGTCGATGTAATTATGCAGTGCTTAATCATTTTTTTATGCTACATGGGCTAAGAAGTATGACCGTCGGCCCTCCACTGCTACACATCGACGTCGGGGAACGCAATAGTGGGCCTCTGAACACTTCCAACAGTTGAATGTATGTAAAAAAAAAGTGATTTTTAAAGACTCTTATTGTTAAAAATGCCAATTAATAATTGGTTTTAATTATGAAGGGGGGAGGGGGGGGGGGGAAGGACCACTGCCCAGGGC